AACTGTATTGTCGGCTGCACCGATAAGCGTAAATGGTTGCGTTAATTGCGTAAGTAGCTCTTTAGCTCTTAGCGTGAGTTCCGCGTTAGGTTAACACAGCTTATTTAGTTAGCCTACAGTGGGATCGTGCCGATCAACCACAGAAGACTGCACGTACTAGTGATCACAACATTAACGCTGTGAATAGAATTAACGGAGTAAATTGAGGATTAACGCGACCAAAACATTTGTGCAAGCTCCCTTATGTGTCCCTATTTTCTTATTTTTTTTGTTTTGGTATTTTGTTTTCAAAGGCTAAAGCTACAACAGAAAAAAAAGCTGTGTAAACATTGGTAACAAAGCGAAATGCTTCTGGATGTCCCCCAGTGGTAGTTGCCAGGTTCAAAGAAATTTTCATTTCAAGGTGTATCTTAATTTTGATGGGCCTCTAACCATTGTTTTTAGGGTGAAATTGAGTAAATTATTCTATAGTAAACTTTCTTTCAGTGAATGTTCTTCATTTTGAATAATTGGTTAAACTGTCTTTATCAAATGTTATCTTAAATTGGTATTGAGAATGCATTTGCCCTCACTTAGGGTTATGTTTTATTTTTTTCTGTAGTCATTGCTTTGTCAGCCTTCCACTAAAAGAATGTAAGAAAGCAGAAAATTTGAGTGGAGCTGTAGCTCGGTTAATTAAGATGCTTGATTTCTAATGCTACTGTATGGTCCTGCGTTCAAACCCTGTCCCAAAGCCTATAAAGGGTTTATAAAGCAACTTTCCATCTTGTAAGTGGCGAATGTGATGTGGAAAAAAACTGTATAGAATAAATATTAATTTCTTTCAGTTGTTTGCCTGGAGTTGAAAGCTATGTTATGACTGTAGCATTTTGCAGTTTATTAGGAGCATGGGTAGGAGCCGTACCAATACCACTTGACTGGGATAGGCCATGGCAGGTAAGTTTTGACCAGCTAGTCGTAAGTACAGGTAGGGTTGAAATACTAAATTCTAATATTGTACGTCTCTAACATAATGATACAGGTATAAGCTACACTACCAAACTCTAATGTAAAACCATCCCGTTTGGGACCAGTGGACGCACCAGCGAGGCCCTTCCGACGTGTGATAAGGAGACCCTGCTAGCAGTTAATATTTGTTGGTACCACCTCTCTTTAATTGCTAAACATAACCACCCACTCTGAAGACTATACCCAGCAAGGTTCCCTGCAACAACAAGTAATATTGCTCTTGTCCCGAGGTCAAACCTACCTTCCATTTCCCAACAATGAATATGAACTGAAATGTTAAAAGTATGCTAAAAAATGCTACATCCTCAAATGATTCCTCACTTGACCTGAAATTTGCAGTAACATATTAATTTTATAATTTTGTTTTGTAACAGGTATGGCCTATATCTTGCTCAATTGGGGTGGTGATTGGACATGGAACAGGGCTCCTTCTCTGTACCGCCCACGCTGGCTTCAATGTTCTTCAACAATTTAGACGAGGAAAGTCAAAACTGTTCTAGGATTCTAAGGTGCAGCTATTTAAATACAGTAGAACCCCATCCTTTGGGACACCCCTAATATTGGGAACACTTTTTCAGCCACTGAATGAGGGAAAGTATATCGCACTATGACTAACCGCTATTCAGGATGCACCCCTACTACGGGGACAGTTTTTTGTTCTCAAAGGTGTCCACTTAATAGGGGTTCTACTGTATAAATAACTATAATGAATACACACACCTATTACAAATGTGGTAAAGCTTTTTAAACCTTGTATGGCAAACATCATATTTATAACTTTCTGTAAGAAGGCGAGAAAAAAATTATCTGAAATTTCCAGTTTTATATGGCAATGGTATGCTAACAATATTAAATGATTACTTTTGCTTGGTGGTACGTTCGCAAAACAAGGTGTAGAGAGTCTTACCAAATTTGGATACATAATTTTTTACTAAGGGTAGATAACACAAACCATGACATATACAGTATAGTATGTATACAGTTAAGTTATTAATAAAAAATAGTGTGTAAAAGCATAAATTAAAATCATAACCACCCAGACATTTCCAATTACAATTATTATTTTAGTGAAAATGTTAAGCTTTTTTTTTTTGGGTGTGGTGGGGTGGGGGAGGGGTTTGGAATAAAAGTTATACAAAAAGGTGTGAAATACACATGAATAATCATTTTTAGTAAATATTTTATCTTTATGAAAACTCACCAATCTCAACATTAGGAAATAGATGGCTGTACTTGCAACATTTTTAGAATCCTGGATGTTAATAATAGAGCAAAATAATTACACACACTCACATTTTTAGAAGCTTAGAGCTAAAACGATTGTAAATAAAATGCACACACAATGAACTGAATGTATCCACACACTCCTGCAACCAGTGTTCAGGTGAACATACGTGGTGCATTGCTAGGCTATCAAATGATATTCATATTATGTTTGTTTATGCATTTTAAATGTCATTGAATATAACACCAGTATATACTTATAATTCATCAAACTAACTATTATGATTATGTGGATCAAAGGTGTAGATGAATTTATGACAACAGTTCTTGGAACATGAATAACTGCGCCACCTAACAGCCTATGTTAAACTCATAGTCTTGAGTATCCAGATTGAAGCATTTCTTCATCTTTTCTCTAGTAGAGATCTAGAGTTTTATACTTCTATCAAGGTACTCAGTTGTAAATCCTGCCTCACTGACTGTTCCTTCCTCAGAAAGTAATTTATAAATTTTGTAGTTTATAGTAATGCAATTTAATAGTTTTTTTTATGCAATTTATCTAATACTGTTTTACTGGCACTCTTATAGACCTGGGTCATTCTGAATCTATTCACATTCAATTTTGTCTGTATCTCTCAATTTTGACAATATCTCTTTATATAAAGAGTAAATTAAAAATATAAAATTATCACAGTTACTCGCAGTAATAGGGTGATTTTGCAACTTTATGTAAATGAAAACGACCACGTCACATTTTCGTTTTCATTATTGCAGACTATTTGAGTACATACATCTCTCTCTACTCATGTACCTTTAAAAGCACTTTGAATCTATCTTTTGCCCCTTTCGTTGTTATTTTCACACCTTTTATTATTGTTCATTCGTTGAACTATCGCCTCCCACTTGACATCTCTTCCTGCTTATGTGCCTTTTAAAGCACTTTGAATCTGTCTTCTGCTCCTGTTGGTTGAAACACATTTCATATCAAGTAACAACAAATTCTTGTTTCCCGTCCGGTGGTCTTTGAGAACTTGCTGTTTCTTAAGGGAAGCTTCTACACAAAATTCAAAATTTTGTTATTATTAACTCTACAAATTCCAAACTTGGTCAGAATATAAGGTGGGGTTAATCATTTCCTAAAATATAAAATTTGGGTCAAATGTCACCTAATTACAGTAGCATTATTATGGCCAATTTGGCTGGAAAAAGTAGGGTGAAGATTTGATGCTCTAACTCCTCCATCTGTGTATTATTTCACATAATTTCACTTTATATACATAGTGTGATGGTGTAGAATCATAGTGTCACGCTGATTGGTGTGTGACTTGATGAGAGGGTGTAGAGACGATTACGATACAAGAAATATCTTGACAAGCTTATATATTGTGTGTTTGTATGGCCAGATTTTATTCACATATACTCTGCTGTCTGTGCCTCTATATCGAATTCCCTTTTTTATGCTTCGAGCTCGAGTGCATCTGCTCTCATCTAAGTCTCAGCTCATTCTCCCTATCCTCTCAGAATATTCCCTAAATATCTACGATACCAGGGTAACTAATCTAGGTTAAGTACGAGCCATTAATTATAGTAAAGAGGTGGGACATGGACTGGAATGTTAATGTCCATCTGAGAGTAACTGATATGGGAAAACTGACCAAGTTCAGGTATTCAACCTTGGTGAGTTCATGAGGTGATTTGAAAGTTCAGGACAGGGCCTTCAAGAACCTGTTACATCGTGACTAGAGATAATTACACATAAATACATTTTTTTTTATAATACATATGAATTTTATTGAAACCAAATATTTTTTTTGCCAAAAAACATGTTTTTTTTTCTCAAAAATTTAAAAAGTTGAGCCATAATTTAAAAAAAAGCCATGTCACTATGATTTTATACATCTAAAGAATACTGTGTGAAAATTTTATTCAATTCGGTAAATTTTCAGTGAACTTGAGAAAGTTAAAAAATATTGCGAAATGAGATATTTGATTTCAAAATCCGAGTGTCTTATTGTTATCTATTTTCGATGTGTTTACAGTTCCTAATCCAATATTTCTTCAATTGCTGGTCCGTATTGATCCCCTTCAAGTTCAATAAAGCGCTGATCATTTGCTGCATTTGATACCTTCTTTGCTTTTCTGTTGCGCTTTGACAAATTCAATTGCGCCTTAGAGGCATTTGATAAGCGTTGCTTATCTTTTGCAATGGTATGATCTAAAGCTACAGTGTTGTGGCTGAGACGGAGTTCATGCATTATATGCAGAACTCCAACAGCTCCTCTGTTGAAGCTCTGTACAGCCATACATACAGCAATAAGGACAGTGTTCCTAGATACAAAGATTGTCTTTCGGCATTTATGCCATACAAGGCCATTGAAACTCTCGTTCGCGTTTTGTGTTATATTTCTGCAACACTTTTCTAGGGTAACTGGATCTGTTAATCTCTCAAAATCTTGCTTTAGAGCATCTGCAATTTCTTTAGAGATAGGGTTGTGGGATCTGGGGGCAGATCGAATTTCCCTTCGTGCTATTGCAGCCCGAAAAAAACACCACGACTCTACACCTTGTGGACACAACTCATGATGTGGGCTATCATCTGTGGATTTACTATGTAGCATAAATTGTTTGGACTCTTTTTTTCTCCTCAAGTCACCCTTCCATCACACTTGCAACATACAGTACACAAAGTCGCTTGCGGTTGCAAACTGGACTATTGAATGTCCTGCAATTGCATTATTTACTAATACCATATCAATTGGACGGTTGTCGATAGGAATAAATGCTGTTGGCTTATGTGATGTATAACCATCAACCAGTTGATGGACAAGTGAAATTTTGAAGGCTTTCAATGACCAGGCACAGCGGTTCTTATTATGAGGCCTTGTACTAAGCTCCCAAAGAATGTATGAATTGACAATAGATTGGTTTAAAAGTCCCCAAAACAGGTACTTACACCAGCGTCTCCCTGTTCGTCCAACATTGTAATATGGTCTTAACTGATCAGTGTGATCTACACCCCCCATATGTGCATTATAATCTAAAATGACTGTTTGGACTGTAATTATTTCATCCTGTCGGAAGTGACTATGTGGCTTCTGAATATCAGACCCATCATTATTTGATGACAAGAACAACACTTTTTTCTTGATAATTGGATCTTCACTCCAATAATCTGCATACTCTGGGGCCTTTTTTATACCCATAACAATATTCATTGCAATGTAGGCTTTCAGAGGTGGCATATTCATGATCAGCAGGATATACAGGTACTTTTCTTGCAGCATTCAGGTTAGTATTTCTGGCCAATATTTCATACAAATCATCACCAATGACTTTTTGTAGATAATCAAGCTCAACTGCATTATATGGCAGATCTATATTCGGCCCAGAAATCTCATTGAAAGGTGGGATAATGGGCTGGGACATAACATTGGACCACCCAGGGGGTGGTGGGCAGTGGTGGCGCCAGGATCTGCCTGACGGAGGGGCTAAAGGCCCTGACGGGGGGGCCTAGTGGAGCGAATCGAGTCTCACTTGGCTGGGGCCAGGGGGCCGCCCAGGGCCCCCGGTGGGGGTCCACAGATATTTGATGAATTATGGCGAGTTTTTATTACTTATTTGATAGGCATCGAATTATTTAATATGATTTCATGTACTGTAGGCTATGCTTTCTAATGTTGAAATCAGCTTCCAAAACCAAAACATTTTAAATAAAGCAAGAAAAAAAGAGTATGCAATGTAACCATCTAATTTATTTTCGAATCCTCATTCTTAAAAGTGAAATTCTATATTTTGGAAATTTTGCATGAAATCTGTCAACCACGCTGTCATGGTCGAGGTTGCTTCACCTATCACGATGTATTCCAACCATCATGAGGCTATCTAAATGAGCATTTGTCATAACAGAACCCTATAGCCCCCAACCCCCCAGCCCCCCTCTGGCGCCACCACTGGTGGTGGGACTACAATATTGTTCCACTTCTGCCTCCTCTCCCTCTATCGCCTCCTCTCCCACCTCGCCCTCTTCTTCCACCTCGCCGTCTTCTTCCACCTCGACCTCTTCTTCCACCCCTTACAGGTATATCTTGCATGTACATAAAAAGAAAAATAGTAGATATTGTTTGTATTATCTCAATCCTGTTTTACTTTGAATATCAATGCACCAGCAAACAACCCAGGGGTCATATTTGGCTTTAGCATAAAAATAAATAAATAAATAAAAATAATAAAATAAAAGCCTATATAATGATATAATGTGATAGTTTGGTAATAACTGATGTTTTTTATATGGCCTAATTCCCAGATTTCCATCAGTTTTATATACCATTTTCGGTGCAAAACTAGGAGTTTATTGATGAATAAGCAAGTAGCCTACTTGGTTGTGGGTGTGGTGCAAAAAGTGGTACAGAAGCCCAAAAGCGCCGCGCTGTATATAAACATCTAAGACTAGGCCTAACTATTTTGCAGGGTATTATTATTACTTACGTACGAGTACGGAGCCAGCCTAAGTAAGTGTTTTGTACAAAGTATGCATTGGCCTAGGCATGTAAATAATAGTTAATAAATGGATGGTGGTGTGTCAAAATAATAATTTCAAAACTTTATTTACATTTATTGTATTATCAATATCAACCGTACATAAAGAGGACACGAGCTCTGTTTACAATCACCGTTGCTAGCCTAGGCTTAGTAGTAGTATGCCTGCCTGCTGTGCGAAAGCCTGTGAATAAGAGTTAATATATATACTATAATTTTAATTTTTATGACCATATATTTTATTGCTTGGTTAACCTATCATTACTAACCTGTGAAACATCGATGTCGCTGTCGGCAGACAAATCCAAGGTCGATTCATCATTGAAGAAGTCTTCTACTAAGACGTTCAGCGCTTGCTGTGGCGTCATTGTTTTTGCGAAGTTAAGCGATTCAAAACTTCGCTTCTTCTCAACTGTTTGACCTTTGAACGCAAATTATGTCATTTTTTCAAATAAAAACCTCATTGGATGATCAGATATTCGAAAATGGATTTCCCAAAGTTTATGTAGATGTTTTTCGCGACACACTAGTGTTCATATAACAGAAGTTATAGCGGGTTGAATAACCAGGGCGGTTTAGGGCGGTCTAGGGAGTAATGCGCATGGTGGTTTGGGGCGTCTACGTGCTAATGGGTTAAGACTAAAGTTCGGGTGAATGTCGTATCATCATCGTACTTACATCATATAATCATTGGCAAATCGACCGCAATTACAATACTGTACTGTAAACGGTTTCCACGATCCATGCTACCAATTAACCACAGACACTACAACAGATTACTCCGTCACACTTCAACAGTGGAGCTCTTTGTGATTGGTTGACACAATACTCAATCACCAAACAACTGTATGTACTCAGTAGCTTGCTTTGCATGCATGAATGGGTCTCCAAGCTGTGGGCATGATGCAAGACAGTACTGTGGAGTACTATTGAAGGTTTCACTCCCAAGAAAAAATCCTTTTCTACTCAGAATTGAAAAATAGTCGCGAAGCAAATGACCTTGTTGCACTGTGCGCGACTAATCAAAATTCCCTGTCGCATTTACGAAAATCAGGTCGCAGATGCAACCAAATTACCCTTAATTTCCAGCCCTGTAAGTACTTCGATAAAGTCAAGGCACCTTTGTGTGATTATAATTGGGATGATGAAATCAAAAGTGCAGATAGAATTCAATAATGATCTGGCATCAGTAAACTCCTTTGGTTGGGTGTTAGGCTGAAGCGCAAATACACCCAATACCTCTATCATAGGTAAAAGTGAAATAAATGATTTCGAATGACTCATGTTTTTCCACCCACCTTGTTCTACAAAGTTCCTTTAGCTTTGTTTTGTTTGTATTATTGTGTATGTCACATACAGCCAGATATCTGACTATTAAAATGAATATCATATGCCCACTTTTCCGGGAATGCATTGTCTATGTATGTTAAAACATAACAGCATATATTTTACCAGTAAATGTACCAATAAATTGATCTTTGGACTTGAAGATGATTTTTAGATTTTTATGTATTTCTAATGGACGATGCAGTGTTAATATTTAGATAAGTCATGTCTGGTTGTTCAGTAGCCTGTTTATGTATATCTTTCATTAAAATATTATTGTATGACTGAGATATTCTAACCAATTCTCCATGTGGCCGCATCTAGACGCAAGTTACAGGGTGTTCTCTAAATTTAAGATATACAAATCCTGGTCACAGCACCAAATGTAGCTCTTTATACAGTATTAATAATAATTATCTCCACCCATGGAATCCAATATAAAACACACTATTTATTAATACTACTGCTCACTTGTACAACTCAATTCTAACTACACTAATCTATCCAAGCACACATACCCAGGTTACTCACTCTAACCACAGAACCTACTTATCTACCAGTTGTCATGGAAACCTAGGTAAAACTTGCAAAGTCTAATACCCGATTCACACGTACAAAAATCTTACCAAATGTAACAAAATGTAACCAAAAGTAACATTTTACGGCACGTGTGAAAGTACCTCCGTGTAATATCCTTGTAAAATCTCGGAACGTCTCGGTAATCTTTACCAGCCTCACTGAGGCTGGTAAAGCTCCCGAGATGTAGCATGGATGGATCTGCGCATGCGCAGGGATTTCAACACAACAACAACCTACTGTGTTTCACGGGGTTCTTTGAATTTTCTTCCTTCTGCAGACGATCCTGATCCACAAGAAATAGATAGGCCTAGTTTTTCTCAATGATGAATGCATTACCCTTGTTATTGATGTTAATTAGTAATGGTAGAAGAAGAAGATATACATAAAATGAACGTCGGGATGGTGTTAGTACTATTACTAGTATTATCAAGAGTCGACAGAAACGTTGGAAGCTATGCCTAGTTTAGTAGTAGTGAGTAGTTTACAGCAGTTAAGGGCATTGATTGCTTTGAATGTTTACAGTGATGGTGAGTTCAACAGTCCATCTGTGACAGGGGTTCTCAACTAGGCCTAGGCTAGACCTATATCGCGGTAGGGGAAAAAATTATTCATTGAATAAACACTGAGTAAATTTTACACGACCTTGGCATTACCTTACAGACGCGTGTGAATGCTTTTTATCTCGGTAGGAATAACTCGGGAGATCGCTCGGTTACAATTTGTTACTTTTTGTTAAATTTAACTTCGCGTGTGAATCGGGTATTAGATGTTTTTGAGTATGGTATGTAAAGTAATTCAAACAAAACCACAATGCTAGACAGCCACTGCTTATACTATAGATGAAAATCTACAGTACTTAACTGTAGCATATTGTTACATATATATATATATATATATATTTGCAAGGCAAATAGGAAAACCCATAAAACAGCAAACGGCCATATAATGGAAAACAAATTAAAATTAAAACGAAACAGTAGAGAAAATCCGATCAGAATGACAAAATAAACTAAGCATCCACTGGAAGGAATCTGCCTCATCAGTGCAGCTAGGGTACAGACCCAAACGGAACGTTCGACCAGCTTATATATATGTTTATATACACCTTAATATCTACTTAATATCTACAAGAGGCTCTTTTCCTTTTCCTGTTGGCGGCATTTGCCATTCACTGCATCTTTCAATTCTGTGTATTTGTTTACAGATGAGCCTGGAAATTATTTATCAATCTGGCAAAATATCGCCTTTGCTCGCCTGGGTGATAATGCCGGCCGTTCCACGGTTTGGCCATTCTCCTCTTTTGACCCATATAAGTTAGATTTGGCCATTTTTGCTGGGGAGAAAAAAATGTCAAAAAGTTTTCTTGCCATTCTAGTGGGGTTTTTATTTTTTTCCACACCCAACAGTACTCATGTATCTTTCACTGCTCAAAGGTAGCAAGCCTCCAACCATAACGACGCCATTGGGGGGTACCTGCTGAACTGGCTCCGCTATTAACGACGGTCCCTGCTGGCTAACATTGGTTGTAGTACTCGTGTTCAGTTCTAAACGGGAGTTAGCAAGGAGTTATGTCTGGTTATGCATCATTACAGTCTGATTGGCCAGAACCAACTCCAAAAGCCCACAAAGCTTCTCAATTTCTTGGCCACAGGAGTACAGATTAGCTTTTCGCTGGTCATCATCTGTAAACATAATGTATACAATAATAAGTTATATTGAACATAGACAGAAATTATAATTGTCAACAAGCCAACGAAGCATTTACATTATAGGCATATAATTGGCGTCTAAGAGATTATAAGGCTCTATATTAATAACCTATATTAATATTATTATGGTTATCATCAATATTAACCAAAGGTGACCAAATTTTCAACAGCACTTCCATAAGTAAGTATCTAAAATGCGTACCTTCTTGTGTATTACAGCACCATTGGAAAAATAAAATTGGAATATATATCGAACTAAAATTTTAAAAAGAAAATAATTTTTCCTTTGGCAATGATCGTCAGTAGGCTGGTTTGCGTCGTCCGTTTGTTTGCGTCGTCAGCTGGTTTGTTTGCATCACCATTTGGTTGGTGGGGTTGCGTAGTCAGCTGGTTTGTTTGCGTCATCATTTGGTGGGGTTGTGTCTAAAGTCGGCTGGTTTGCGTTGTCTGGTTGGTTGTTTGCGTCGTCCATTTGTTTGTTTGCGTCGTCAGCTGGTTTGAATCACTATCTTCTGTAATTGAAATAGAACTGTCATCATAAATTGACTTAAATATACAGTACAATAAGTAATATATTAAAATAAGACAAAACGTTTTTCCTCTGTATTAGAAGCAGAAAGAGCAAAAATTAAAGAATACACAGATGCATTTATCACAGATACTGTATATTAAACAGTGCGTGGATACCACTTTAAATGCGATTTGTGCGATGCAAGTTATGTCGGTTATACAAGTCGACAACTTTACCAATTCATTACAGTGTTGAACAAAGGCTAGTCGGTAGTAATACGGCTGGGAAGGGTGTGTGAACCGTGTCGTCGTCCTGAGGCCACCCACAATGGCAATGCTGCCTAGGAAGCCCAGGCTAAATAAAACTGTTATTACTTAATGATAACCTTAATGATTACTTTATACCTGACTAACTATAATTTATATGCTTTACCTAGGGGCCTAAGTATCTATAGTATAAAGTTAGGACTAGGCCTACCTTGCTAAGGGCTAAACAGACCGTGTGAGGTCACTTTGCTGTTGCTTTTGCTTTGACATGCTGGTTTGTAAAATCCGTAAAATCGTTAGGCAGGTCAACGTCGAAATATAGCTTTGTGTTTGTCGTTAATATAAAGTAATTGTAATTTTTAAATTTAGCAAAAATGATTGTCGTATTTCTAAAAGCAAAGGACTGTGAAAAGTAATCAAAACTTCGTGTTTATAAAGACATAAATAGTACCTTTTCTTATGTCTTCTGCTGTTTGATCTTCTATTCCCATGTGCAGGCGGTATGCTTCTATTCCCATGTGCAGGCGGTATGCGTTCACAATTTCAATTAGTTGTAACTTTAATGTGCCCTTGTCAAAAAACATACCGTAATACATTTTTTAAAGAATCATTAAGGATTTGCAAGGTTGCTAATAATATTATTTAACAGTATATAATACTGTACTAACATCATTGTTAATATTTACTATACTTATTGTATTACTATATTCCTTCCAAACAAACGATGTGAAAGCATATAACTAATAGTTTTTAAAAACAATCAACAGTTTTTAATGCTTCAGGCAAAGCCTAAATTTATTTACCCAAGATCCCAAAAACTTGTTTTGGTATTTTTCTCAATACCAGTTGGTTGTAATGTAATTATTTTTGTTGTTATTATTCTTCTTAAAGAAAAGAAGCTCTGAGGAATTTAATGTTTTTCTGTTTAAAATACTGTCTACTGATGGGTGATGGTCAAATTACAGATAAATCTCCAGAAGCAAGCTATTAACTATAACAAACTTATGGCATATCTGTTAAACATAACAACATTATTCTAATAATGCATTCTCTTGATTTGTGCTGAATATTGGATGGTATTTTAATAAAATGCAACTAGATGAGCCTTCAAATGGAGGTCTGTCAGCCACCATCCCACCCCCATCCCCTCACATAGCACTTTAATTCTACTTTAAAAAATGTGATTTAACATATTCTGTGGTTTTGGTGCTATGCCTAAATAACTCAACTACAACTTACTGGTAAATCATTTCACTTACCCTCCTGAAACAACTGTAATTGCAAGACATTGTTCTTTATGTAGAAAAATTTATTATCATCATTATTTTTTTTTAAATTTCAGAAACATAATCAAATCATACAGTATGCCACTATGCGATCATGTCTTATCACTAGTAGGAAATATCAATAATATTTCAACTGGTTAACTACCTCCTTGAAGTATATCGAAAGCAAAATGATTTTATGATGTTTGTACCTTTATCGTTCGTATTCGGTGATGCGAAAGCACATCATTTGGCCACCATTCTGGCTTCTTTGCTGTTTTCCAAAATGGCTTTCCCATATGAATTCCTGCAAGACAAAATGACATTTTAGTAATGTTGCACAGTATAAAATAGGAGAAAACCATGTTTTTTGTTTACTCATTTTTGAATAGCCTACAAAAATAAAAAACAAAAACAGTTGTACAATGTGGTCCAATGTATAAACCACTGGTTGGGCTAAATGTTGCTTTACCAATTATTTAATAAAGCGAGTTACATATCCTAATTTACTGATAAAATAAATTCATAATATTGGTATATGAATACTAGCTGTACATACCTTCTTTTCGAACCGCTCTGACAACAATGCCCCTTAATCTCGGAAACGTTTGTCTTTCTGGGTTGATTAGTAACAACTCATCTATTGACATCGCTATATCTCCACTTACATGAGCCTCCTGAATGGAGGCATCTTCGGGACCTAAGAACGAATAATTGTTATTTTGAATTAATTAAAAAAATGACTAGCAAAAGCCATGTCCTGTGCAGCGGGTAAACCAGTAAATCATCTGTCTACACCATGGGTTGTGTAGAAGACTGGTTACAGCACCAAAACCAAGAGCAAGTGAGTCAATTTTAAAAGCATGAAACATGACTTCGCAATCATTTTACCTTTATTTATTATCGTTCCCTTTAAAGCTTCTCCTAACGCCCATTCAAATAGGTGGCTGTTTTTCCCTAACGTTTTAGTCGCAATTGGGGATTTAAATCAAACAAATCAAATTATGACACAAAATATATATAAAAGGCGTATTTTTAGCTTCCTTTCTTTTTAAGGCAAAACACTCAGACATAATAGGTCCAGGCTTTTTACAGTAGTGACAACTAGGACCAGAGTGCTTGTCTCCTGACCCCTGTGAAAACTTAGCTCCTGATTTATAATCTATGGGCTTGGAGTTGACAGGTATAATAGTTGTAGATAGAACCCTGACCTAATTTAACATCCCCATCAGACCCTGGCTTGGGTTTCGATGCAAAGGACAGTTTATGTGTTAATGCATAATCATCAGCCGCTCTAGCAGCCTCTTCTAATGAGTTTATCCTACGTTCATTTAAACTCTTCAAGCAACACTAACTGCTTTAGCGTGCATCTTTAGAATCACACCATCTATTAAATAATTCCTCTTTTTTCCTGGCAAACTCTACATGAGTCTGTCCCATATTTATTCGGAGGTTCCGAAATTTTTGACGATATGCCTCAGGAACGAGTTCGTAGGCATTAAGGATGGATTTTTCTACTAATCTATAGTCAGCAATTTGGCTAACGGAAAGGGCAGAGTAAACGTCCCTTGCCTTCCCAATTAATACACTCTGCAAAAGGAGTATCAGTTTATCTTCTGGCCAATTCATACTTTTTCAAAATGAAGGAAAAATTTATCAACATCATCCTCCTTAAAAGGAGGTACAAGGCGGAGATTTTTGTTAACATCAAATTTAGGAGTATGTACCTCTGTTTTAGCCTGAGATTTTAGCTGTAATTCCTTAAGCTTAAATTCATTATGAAGCTTTTCTTTCTCTAGCTCTAAATAATTTTTTTCGTTTTTCCTTCTCCAGCTCTAGTTCCATTTTAAATTTTAATTCCAATTCTTTAAGTTGCCAATCGCTAGCACTAACTGGTGCAATAAGTCCTAGAGCATTTTCTTCAAAAATATACTCATCAACTAAGTGCTCGATAATAGTGGCCCGAATTTCTTGCTTCCGCATGGCAGAAGTAGTTGGAAGCTCAAAGTGTTTTGGTATATCTAAAACATCCAAGGATGGTGAAGCAACAACAAAGGCCTTAGTGTTCTATGTTGTTAATCAAAAATTACAAATCACAAAATACAAATTAAAAATTCAAGTTGTGATCGTTCAACTTCAATTCCCGGACGAGTCCCCAATTTCTGTTACATGCAGAGCACAAACAGAGAATAGCAAACGCAATAGCTTAGTATTATATACAATATGTACATTTATTAATAAAAACATAGATAAATTATTATAAAAGAGAACAAAAATGATGGTGGACAGAATAAGCTGAGCCCACGGCTAAGTAAGTTGAATGAAAGACTGGTGTCCGAGACCGGGTCTATAGATAAACTTAATGAACCACGGCAGACAGCAGACTTGTAATAAAGTTGATGATAACTTTAGAACTTATGGACTAACTAAATGTTAGGATTGTATCCCATTTTATACATTTACGGACAAGATATGTTGGGGAGATTATTATGACATCACCACATCTTCTTAAGGATGAAGTTGTAGATGACATCATCACACAACTCAGATTCAACAGCCCTTAACCTTATTTAGAATATTACCCAGCAGGTGATTTAGACAACAAAATTTAAGAGGGGCACTTTAGGACGAACTTTGTATATGCACTCTACAATATGGTTAATACAGACTAAACTATTACAAAGTATATAGTAAAAATAACATAACAGTATTCAACATTATATTATAGTTAAATAAATGTATTAGGCATAACCTAACAATACCCTATTTACGAATTAGAGCATTTGTTAGACCCTAAAAACATAACATACGTTATGTGCCTGTGCTATACTTACTTATTGTATTATTATATTCCTACCAAACAAATGATGTGAAAGCATATAACTAATAATTTTTAAAAACAACACAACAGTTTTTAATGCTTCAGGCAAAGCCTAAATTTATTTACCTAAAGGTCCCAAAAACATGTTTTGGTATTTTTCTCAATACCAGTTGGTTGTAATGTAATATTATTTTTGTTGTTATTATTCTTCTTAAAGAAAAGAAGCTCTGAGGAATTTTTTTTGTTTAAAATACTGTCTACTGATGGGTGATGGTTAAATCTCCAAAAGCAAGCTATTAACTATAACAAACTTATGGCATATCTGTTAAACATAACAAAAACAACATTCTAATAATGCATTCTCTTTATTTGTGCTGATTATTGGATGGTATTTAAAAAGAACAAACATATTCTGTGGTTTTAGTGCTATGCCTAAATAACTCAACTACAACTTAAATCATTTCACTTGCCCTCCTGAAACTACTGTAATTGCAAGACATTGTTCTTTATGTAGAAAGAAATTTAATCATCGTTATTATTATTATTATTTTTTTAAATTTCAGAAACATAATCAAATCATACAGTATGCCACTATACGATCATGTCTTATCACTAGTAGAAATATCAATAATATTTCAACTGGTTAAGTACCTCCTTGAAGTATATCGAAAGCAAAATGATTTTATGATGTTTGTACCTTTATCGTTTGTATTTGGTAATTCGAAAGGCACATCATTTTGGCCACCATTCTGGCTTCTTTGCTGTTTTCCAAAATGGCTATCCCTTATGAATTCCTGCAAGACAAAATGACATTTTAGTAATGTTGCACAGTATAAAATAGAAAACCATGTTTTTTGTTTACTCATTTTTGAATAGCCTACAAAAATAAACAAAAACAGTTGTCCGATGTGGTCCAAGTATAAACCACTGGTTGGGCTAAATGTTGCTTTACCAATTATTTAATAAAGTGAGTTACATATCCTAATTTACTGATAAAATAAATTCATAATATTGGTATATGAATACTAGCTGTACATACCTTCTTTTCGTACCGCTCTGACAACAATGCCCCTTAATCTCGGAAACGTTTGTCTTTCTGGGTTGATTAGTAACAACTCATCTATTGACATCGCTATATCTCCACTTACATGAGCTTCCTGAATGGAGGCATCTTCGGGACCTAAAAACGAAAAATTGTTATTTTGAATTAATTTTAAAAAATGACTAGTAATTAGTCTGTACCCACACGATTACAAAAGTCATGTCCTGTGCAGTGGGTAAACCAGTAAATCATCTGTCTACACCATGGGTTGTGTAGAAGACTGGTTACAGCACCAAAACCAGGAGCAAGCGAGTCAATTTTAAAAATATGAAACATGACTTTGCAAACATTTTACCTTTATTTATTATCGTTCCCTTTAAATCTTCTCCTAACGCTCGTTCAAATAGGTGGCTGTCTTTCCCTAACGTTTCAATTGCAATTGGGGATTCAAATCAAACAAATCAAATTATGACACAAAATATATATAAAAGGCCTATTTTTTAAGCTTCCTTTCTTTTTAAGGCAAAACACTCAGACATAATAGGTCCAGGCTTTTTACAGTAGTGACAACTAGGACCAGAGTGCTTGCCTCCTGACTCCTGTGAAAACTTAGCTCCTGATTTATAATCTATGGGCTTGGAGTTGACAGTTATAATAGTTGTAGATAGAACCCTAACTTAATTTAACATCCCCACCAGACCCTGGCTTGGATTTCGATGCAAAGGACAGTTTATGTGTTAATGCATAATCATCAGCCGCTCTAGCAGCCTCTTCTAATGAGTTTATCCT